AAATTGGTATTTTTATTTATCCATTTTTTCAAATTTTTTTCTGTTTTTTTTTTTTTTTGCATGTAACATATTAAGAATTGAATCCTAAATTTATAACTAAATGCACAAATAACTCTATACCAAGCTACATGACTAGCAGTCTCTAAAATTTATTTTATAGAGTTGTTTATATATTTTCATATTCTAATACTATAGTAAAACAAGAGTAAAAGTAGTGTTTTTAGTTTTTATTTTTTCTAACAAAAATTTTAACCAATAAACTTTTTTTCCCACGTTTTTCAAGAGAAAAAAAATCTTAACTTCCTTTATAGGGAACTTATTTGATAATTTTCTTATAAACTTTTTCTACTTCAATTTTTTACCAAATATAGAGTAAAAATTAATAACCTAACAAAATTCTAATAAAATTTCATTATAAAATTTATCAATTTTTTATACAGTATTTCCCTAATCATTTTCTTAATCACAACTTTCCAAATAAAGTAGATTTCTAACCAAATTAACCTTTACCACCTTGTCAAAATAAAGAGGTATTAATTTTAGTGGACAGGTTTGATGTTAATGTATTGGCGGTTTGAACTAGTTAAACAAATATAATAATAATGGTAACTCTCATTTGGTATCGGTTATCTATTGAATTTAGACCGTTGATTTAAATATCTCAAAGTTTAAAGTAACTTATTATTTATATGCTTTATTTGATATCGATTATTTAAAGTTCAAAAATATGTTATTTACACACTTTATTAAATATCAATCATCTATTATATTTAAACCACTAATTTAAGCATCTTAAAGTTTAAAATAGTTTGCTACTTACATACTTCAATTGCATTTGTATGGAGTATGGACCTATAAAAAATGGTTTTTCCATCTCGACACTACCACTTTAAGTGCATGTTTGGTGCAGCTGGTGGGAAGTGTTTTTCGGACCTAAAAGCTTCAATTGCATCAAACACACAGCTTGTGAAAAATATAAGTCCTTCTCACAAGCTTATCTTTTCTCATTCTAATGTAATTTTCATGAGCACGAAATTTGTATTTTTACGAGAACTTTTACTTCTCATTTTAATGAAATTTGCTCATTCTCCCTATTTTACCCTCACACTTCCTTCTATTTACAAAAAAAACTACTATATATAGGTTCCAATTTATAACATCACTCACCATTATCAAGTAGCCCAGGCACATCTGTTTCTTCTTCGTCTTCTTAACCATCTTCTTCCTCATCCAATCAGAGAAGCAAATCGAAAATTCTTACCGTATTCTTCCTCTTCTTCTTTCTCCCTAAATCGAAAATCTCTCATCTTAAGCTCGGAGACGAACCCAGGAGCTGGGTTTGCGACAAATCCCGCTCTAGGGTTCCAAGACGAACCCAGTGCCTGGGTTCGCGACGAACCCCACACTTGGGTTTCGAGACGAACCTACGAGTTGGGTTCGTGAGGAATCCCGTGCTTGGCTTTGTGATGAACCCAAAGGTAAAAAAAAAAAAGAAAAAAGAAAAAAAAAACATCCGAAAGAAGGAGATAATAATAACCTTTAAAATATTTATATTGATCATTATGAAATAAAATGATTTTAAGGTTATATTAATAAAAAATTTAACCATGTTATTAATTTTTATCATATGGACATTTCATGTAATTTAAGTAAGAAAAAATATAAATTTTTTTAATTAATATGTCACATTAAAATTTAACGAGAAGTATTAAAAAGATGTTGAATTTTTTAAACTTTAAGAATTAAAAAAACAATTTTTTAGTACAAGAATTAAAAAAATATTTTTTTAAATAATAGAGGACCAAAAAAAAGTATTTAACTTAAGTTTTAATTTTAATTGTTCGTATTTATGTTATTTAAATATAATAATATTTTATTTTTTAAATTAAAATATAAATATTTATCTAACATTTATGTTTTAAAATATGAATAATTAATTTTTAATAATTAACTTTAAACTAATTATAAA